AATCAACTTGAAGATATTGGAAACTTCTTAGACATGGGTAATCCATCACAGGCAGTACGCTGTCTTGTTTTTTCAACAAATTTGAAAAGCTACACTATCATGGCATCGTGATCCATCAGCAAGCAAGGCTGTTTTCTTTTCTTTGCTAGTGCATTTATGGACACTCTGACATCCAAGATAGGTGAGTGTACTGTCAAATAGCTAATCTTTTTAATGCAGGACAGGATCACATTTACATGACCCTTCAAAACAACAATATAAAACTTAATTAACTTGTTTCGGTTTGTCCTCCAGGTTTGATTTGTTGGCAACAGTCGGCAGATTTCAGATGCTGGACCTTTATTTAATGCTTCACCAAGTAAGTTGTTTTTTAAAAGCAGTCGCTGCTCACAACTGTATTTATTTTCTTTCAGGTTATTTTGGGGTATTTCATGCCTGTATTTGATTGTGAGAGTGGAGAGCGGCAGGAAAAATGAGGAAAGAGAGTGAATGTTAAACACGATAAAGTGGATTCAAAGTTTAAAGTTTAATGTAATGTATCACCAATAAATAGAAACTATGCTGCAGATCAGAAAATGTATGATGTGATCCGGTAAATGATTTGCAATATACATTAATTGGCTAAAACGTGCAAAGATGCCAGTATGTTTCTTGCACCATTTATTTCTATTATGTGCTTGTGTGTGTGAGAGTGTGTGTGTGTGCGTGTGTGTGTGTTCGTGTATTAGGAGGTTAGTTACAGGATCATCTCCTACCATCAATGAGGTGTGAACCCCAGACTTCTCACGTCCCCCCACCCCCACTTTACACCAGCCCAGGTGTCAAAGCCCCCACTGAGGTGACACTTATCACTGGTCTGGGAAAGAGCTCCTCTGTAACAACACAAAGACATTCACACTCACACTCACACACACACACACACGCACACACAAAGACGCTCAGATATCAGAGGATGACTCGGGTTGGAAAATGTCTCTCCTCCTCACTCGATATTAAGGTCTATAGATTATCAGGTCTAGACAAGAACAATAACATGACCACCATGGCAACCATGAGATTGCCTATTCTCTTCAAGATGTTCCAATGTTTATTAAACTTCCCATTCAATGATTTTGGCCCTACTACTTACTGATCTACATTATCTGGCTCAATAGCTGGCTCAGCTTGTCTCAGATACTAACACTGACACACACACAAGCACACACACAGACGAACACACACATTTATCTATGACTACCTATGGTGTCTCTTTTTAGGCTGTGTCTCTTCCTCTGTTCTCCCTCCTCCTTTCCTCTGAAGATAAATATGTCACTCACGCTGCAGATGGTGTGTGTGTGTGTGTGTGTGTGTGTGTGTGTGTGTGTGTGTGTGTGACTGAGAGGGAGTGTGTGTATGGAGACTGTTTGGGATGTGGAGTCCCCCACTGAGGTCAGATGTCACAGCAGACAGACAAACACATCAGCATTCAGAGCCGCAAGCCATTCAATTTATATCATAATTGATAAATACCAAATTAAAGCACAGTTATACTCAGTTTTTATAAACTAAATAGCAACTTTGTTTTGAGTTGTAGGCTTCAGGTTCACAGTGCAACAGAGTACTTCAACAGGGGTATAGAATGTAAACATTTGTGGAGGACAGTAGCCAAATGGTTGCAGAAGTGATCTCATGACCAGAGGGTCAGCGGTTCAAATTCCTGAACTGCCTGGTAGGGAAAGTGCCTGAGACACAACAACTGCCATCCAAACAGTGTAGAGAAAGGTCCCTGTCACTCAGCCACTGCAAAGAATCAATAGCAGGCTGGTTTATACTGTACTGGCAGCTGCCAGTGCTAAAACCAACAAATGAAACCGTCTCTCTGTGAGATAATCATTGAACAATTTACATATTGTTCTAAATTGAGAGTAGAATTCGACAAAATATTAATATTAATATTTAATCCCTCTAATTTGAAAGTGTTACCATTAGTGTCAACCCCACTGATATCTCCGCTGCTCTCAGAGGATTTCTGCTGCTTGTTTTTGGTGTGCCAGACTGGTTGAGTCCCTGTGGCTCCCTCTAGGCAATAGTTGGCAAGTTAGCAAAATGTACATGATAAGTTCATGTGATGTGTCAAAGCTTATTGCTGCGTGGAGACATTGTTGTGCTCTCTAGACTGCAAGCTGTATCCTGCATAATATCAAAAACAATTGCTACACAAGGTGAAGCTATGTTCAACCTCAGTCACTATATATTAGGATAAAGCACTTACCTTCTGAATCTCCTCCAGGTTGAACAGCAATGGTTGAATCTCTTGTAAAATTGATCATTCTTTGTGTCTGGGCTTGTGTGTTATGTCACTACTTATGTCCCTACTCTCTGCAATTATTTTACACTGACTGGACAGCAGTATATTGTTTTACTTTTTATCCCTATATGTCATTTGTTTCTATTCACATGACAAACAGAAATCATGCAGCTTCATTTGCTGCTTCTGACAAATGTTTTTTTTTAATGAACTCTCAAATCACACAGAGTGGAAGATAAACGCTCCGCTGCTTTCTTGTGGTTCCCTACTTTCTGCTGACAGACAGTCCGCCATAATCACTGCAGGAGTAAGATGCTGGTCTGCTGAAATTAGTGGGTTTAGTTTCCTAATATGGCAGAAGTCTAAATCAAAGAGGAGAAGCACATTTTATGTTTTATGTTTTAGAGCAGGGATATCCAACATGTTCTCATTCCAACTTACTGATGCTTTGTCAGACCCGTGAAGCATCACTTTCTTACACACTGGGTATCAGACGCCGAGGGGCATGACAAAGCGTTGGAATTTGACGCCCTGGGAATGAGAGCCCACTGGGATATCACCTCCCTCTGTATCGGAAAGCAGATTTTCTCCTTTTTTTCAGATTTTTTAGTTTGGAAGCGAGACTGGTGATGTCTCATTTTTGGAGAAGCTTCCAATTTTCATCCCTGTGTTGCACCGAACTTTCTAATATAGGTTTTGTGAGCCTTATATTGCCGGCATCTTTGACATCTTCTGCATTTTTAATTCTTGAAATTCTTGTGACCCCTGCAGTTAGAGAGCTGTCATTTTGTAGGAAATACTTATATACTGTATTAAAATAATCAAACAAGTATAAATACATCAGCAGAGATCTTGCACCTCTCTGCACATAAAGCATGAAAAAGAGAAGCCATGATGAACCTTTATGTGTATTTGACTTGTGACTGTTTGTCTTTGGTTGTTTCTGTGTCAGCAACAAGAAAGACAACTCTCCATGTTTATCATTTCAAATGGAATACAACTCCTAACCATCACTTGTGATGTCTATATAATTTGTATTTTCCCATTAAATGAAGGTGTCTTGACTCTCTGGATCCCAATAATACCAGGTTGCCCCCTCATGTGTTGTGGACCCTGTGTAAGTAGTCTAGTCAGCTGTACTGTAATTGTCACTGTAACTGGGTGTGCCATCACTTGTGACATCACTATGATAATAGCTGATATCCTCATAATTGGTGTTATTCGTTGTGCTGTCCCTGTAATCTGCAGTGTCCCACATGAGGAATCCTCCAGGTGACACTTAGACTGTCTCCAACAGAGACGATGTTTGATCTGTCACGACTCACTATCGTGGTCTTCAAATGTAAATGAAATTGATGCAGTATTCATGACACCTGCCTGGAGTCTTCATGTTGTTACCATTTAAAAACTATTTAGATTAGCCTTCATTTAAATTCTGGCCTTTGATGAGCTTATGTTATCCCCAAACCGAAAGATCCAAACGTCAGTGAAATGGACTACAAAAAGATCTTAATATAAGTAAGACTACATAAATATACAACACAAATAAGTACACATAAAATAAGTAACGACATCAAGCAAGTCTATTTATAAATGTTTCATAGGAGGGACACTCTTGACAGAGAAAACTGCACATTACACTAAATGATTTATTATGATGATTTGGCAAACAATTGAATTTTTTAAGGATATTTTCTTTATATATACAAAACATGCACTTAAAAAGCCATCTACCACCTGATAGCAATTATCTTAATTATGAAGTTTATACCATACCCAGCACTTCTGGTGTGTGTTTACCACTACTATGTTTCAGTAGCATAGATACAAAATATTTTTAAACCCAAAAGACACACAAAGAAAGAATAAAATACTATAATCCCAAAACATTATGGACAATGACAAACCAACATACTCAGCCACATGATTTCTAGTCCTTTGACTCTGTGTTCAAAGGAGGAGCCCATTCAAATTATTTTTGTGTCCCATCTTGGTTCATTGAACCATCTCAACTGTTCACTGACAATAAAAGAGCAAGTAGTGAAAAGAGCAAATACGCCATCTAGAGCAGGCAGGCAGGAAGCACAGTGCACTGCAGAACAAAAGTCCCTGTGCTCAGAATAAAAGGTATAATTAAAGTTAGATTGATACCTCTAATCATGCGACTGTTTTGATATAGATTCTGCTTTTCTTTTCTTTTTCAAACAGAGAGATGTGGTGACAAGAAGACTGTCAACAACATATTTAAATGTATGTATATATGAAATTAAAATTAACACATCCTCACTAAAATAATCCTTTTTGGAAAAATATGCACTCAAAATATCTTAAAAAGTGGAGTTTTCAGCTCTGAAGATATATTTAACAAGATCTGTCGCTCAGTCATGTATGCAGGACCAAATAATAGAATATTCTAGTAATATATATCTAGTAATATAACTATATCAACAATACATATAATCTAAATTTGGTTGCAAGACAACGGAAATTAGTGGAGGTATTATTTTTTGGAAAATTAAAAGTTACCAACTATTTCCACGAATACATGTTGCGAATTATCCATAGGGTGTCTTGTATGTTTAAAAATACATGACTAACAAAGTATTTGGTGTAGAATAGTACAGATATAGGATTTTGTATGGTTTCGTGATTTCACAGACGTTTTCACATGATTTTTAAGAAAATCCGGGAGGTCTTGTTGAGTTGGTATATAGGATAACCCCATACGAAAGACTCATACACATAAAATCTTTTTTTATTTTCATTTGTTTCATTCAAGGATAGCCTTTCCAAAAGGTGTCAACGATACAACTTTTATTTTGAATGAATAGAGCGTCGCACTTCCTTCTGCCAGCTTCAACCTGGCGAGGTTCGATCGTTGTCCGCCGACGAAAGGACTTCGCGAAGAAGTAAATAACCAGAAAACAAAATGAATACTGTCGAAAAGAAGCTCGCGGACTTGATACGCGAACACCCGAATCTGTACGACCAATCCCGGCGGGACTACAAAGACAATCTGAAGGGGCATCTGTCGTGGAGAGACATCGCAGAAAACATGGGAAAGTCGGAGGAGGAGGTGAAGCTGAAATGGAAAAATCTACGCGACAAGTTCTGCAAGGCGAAGAAGCGACTCGCCAAGAGAATCGCGCCTCTGCTCACAGACGACGAGAACCCGGTGGAGAGGCCCGTCCCGGTGCTGTACAACCAGCTGGCCTGGCTCAGCGCCTACGTCAAGCCCAAAGTAGAGCCTGGCACGGGGGAAGCCGACGAGGTGTGTTGGTCACTTGTCTGTCTGTCATGCATTGATTTAACATGGATTCACATATTTGATTTTTAAATTGTAACATTAGCAAGTTAACGTAACCGCGCAGTTAACGTTGTTTGATTTATAGACCGCCCTACAGCCCTGACGCTAACTAACGGAGACATTGTTTTGCAAAGCTAATCGCATGATAACGTCCGTGTACACCGAACACATCGCTACTGACGTCTGCCTCTCACGATATCCGGATTCACTTGTCAAAATAAAAGCACGTGGTGGAAAACCGACAATCAGCAGTCACAGTTAAACATGTTAAACATGTTAAACCTAAAACTGAATCAAAGCATCAATCAACTTATTTGCCTTCACAAAACAATATGCAAAACAAAGTATATAGCTGACAGATATTAGATTTCTGAAGCTGGTATTTCATAATTTGATTTTTTATATTGTACAATATTCTTTTTTTCTTTCTTTTTTTAAACATAAATACACAACAAAAACATTATTATTATTATTTCTTTTTTTTTAATGTAGACATCTTAAAAGCCCTGCACAGCCCTGCACAGCCATGCTATACCCAAACAATGATTTCACTTATTAGACCTTTGACTTGAGCAAGCAATACAAAAACAACCTTTGGGGAACACAAATGTATATAATATAATATGTACTCAGCTTGACAATTTACAAATGCAAAGATACCGATGCTTTGTGGTGGACTAACATGTTGTGTCTGAATTATCTCGAGCATATTATCTTTGGCATTCCTGCACTGCAAGTTCTTGTTATTTAATAGGCAATATGATATATTTGTGATAAGCTATTATTGGCCCCTAATAGCCGCCTGCCGATGATTAATGCTCTATTGAATGGTATACATTACATTAAAATAGAAAAAAATATATATATATTTATAACAAAAAATCAGTTTTGTTCCCAGTAGGAGGTATGGGTTGTATAAGGGACTGAGACATGTTTGGCTTTGATCGCCAAAGAAGTTGAAGCTTGTTATCAGTGTTGCTGTCTGTGTTAACCACTAATGCTATTTGCTGTCTTCATGCCACACAGGTAGCTGGAAGTGGTGATGACGTGGACAAAGAGCAAGATAAAGATGAGAAGGAGCAGCATTGTCCTCTGCCTGTCGTTACTACTAGCTTTTCTCTTGTGGAGTCCTGTCCAAACAACCATCAGGAGATGGGAGTCTCTCTTAAACGTAAAAGGCAAACAACCACAGAAACTGAGATAAGCTCTGCAGATGCCCTCACCAACCTCAGAGATGAAGATGAACTGTTTCTACTCAGCCTTCTGCCTTCACTGAAGAGGCTTACCATTAAAAAAAGAATGGAGGTACGGATGAAATTCCAGCAAGTGCTTTATGCTGCAGAGTTTGAGGGCTAAAGGGCTCATTATGAGGCATTACAAATGGTGTGATCAATGGTAGGGCCTGTTATGGTATAAGTATGATTCTGCAAGCATTGAACCTGTAAATAGGTTTTTTTGGTTGTTTTTTACCATTACAACTTTTTAATATTTATCTTTTGACCACCACTGCTATTAATAATATCACTATATAGATATCTATAATTCAGTGTTGTATCGAGAGCTTTATTTCTGGGTTTGAAAAGTCTTTCATTTTGAATGTAGGTGATGGAACCCCCTTTTGGTACTAGTTATAAAATGAGAGTAAACATAGAGTTGTTGGTTCACTAGGTACACATACGTAGTCAAATGTAATTCCACCAGATATACCAGCCTCCTAATAACTCCCTCCTTTTCAAAGCTAATCCTAAAAGCTAATGTTCATTCAACATCATGAAGTGAAAAATATTTTGTCCACACCCATTTATTGGGACTTGAGCAAAATGTGTGTGCAAGTGTACTGTAGACTACCTGTTGACCTAGTAACTCAGAGTAATGAACAATCTGAGAATGAATTTGGTTGAAAAACCTTTCTATTGAAAAATATCTTTTATCTTTTACATTTCAAGACGGCACACACAAATGCCACAATTAACTACCCTTTCAACGGTACCCGCACACATTACCATATGTATGATAACAAATCAATTTCAGACAGCAGTTTGAAATACCTGCAAATAGAAATACAGTTATTTCCTTTTAACTTTAGCTCCACATGGGGGAAGTTAGGAAACAGTAGATTCCACCTAAGTTAGTTCTGTGATGCTGCTCGTCAACACTGCCCGCTTCTTGTCATCTGATTTTTGTAGATCAGACAAAACTCTCTGACTGTACATAGATATCTCTCCTTCATCTTTCTGAATGGAGTCATTTCTACTGTGTATATATATATTTTTTTTACAAATAAATATTTTCCTGCTACGGAAAAAAACTGTTCACTTGCTGTTATTTTTGCTAGTCGATTTCAAAAAGGCATCAAATCTAAGAATAGTTGGTCCAAAATTCTTATTGCAAATCGGAACCTGCTAGTACTTCATTATTATTATTTTTTACATATATATAGTGCAAACTCTACAATTACACAAAACATATGATTGTGCATATTTAATGGTAAAAATTAGGCCATTAAGTATTAAGAGTTTTTATCATCCACCCAAGTGTACAATAATCTCCTTTGTCTTTCATTTTGTTGCATTCTGGTGTATAGGGTAGCATCAGCCTTCTTGTATTTCACTGACGATGTTTTCTCGCTGCACTAATACTATTTCATTTTTTTAGCTGCACACACACACACACACACACACACACACACACACACCAATCTCTGGTCTGTCTCAACAGGGACCTCTCTCTCTGTTCAGGGATGGGACTGCAGCAGAAAGCCCTGCTCACCAACACTTGCATGTTTTCATTCATATATTCATGTATTCCATTCATATTAACAGTGTACAATGGAAATATGTGGGTGGGGTGTATGTATGAATACAAGTCAATGCCCCGCTCCCCCTCACTATATTTAACCCCCTAGAAGCCTCCTCTTGCCTCCCTCATTGCTGTGTTACTCCCTAACCCCTCCCCCTCTCCCTGTCTTCCTGCTCTCTTGTCATTGGGTGCTGTGTGGGGTGATGGTTGTGGTTTCTGTCGGTGATGTCTCCAGAGCGTGTACCGGCTTAATGCTTCAAAACTATTGAAGCTTATTTTGATTTAACAGTCTTGCAGCACTTCTAGATTAGATTCAGTTTAGATAGATAGAGATGGATATATAGATAAACAAATAGATAGTGTTTTGAAAGAATATATAAAGAACATACTAAGAACACATGCATATTTGTTCATCATCTCTGTGGAAGTAGTGCCTCTAAGGAGCCTCTAACTGCTGCCTGTAGCTCCAACAGCTGACTTGCGAGTGACAACCTGAAGCTTGGACTGTACATTCTGCCAGGAAGTCGAGGACTCAAGCGCATCTTGGACAGTTTCCATAGAGTCATTGCCTCAGGCTCGACCGGAGCATAGACTTATCCTTTTTGGGACCAGACTTCTGAGAGTTGACAAGCTGCAGAAATAAGGATCAACTCACTGCTTTCTACTGCCTGAGGTGAGATGCAATAATCTCATGATAACTTGCTGTCCTTGATTATTAGGGAGGATGTTGGTATAATCAGTGAAAACTTTACTCCGATCTCTTCTGCTGTTACAGGACAGTAAACTCACTGCTTCTTGTTCTCTGCAAATTAGAATTATATTAATAACTCACAGTATCAGAATCTGTGCGCATAGCACCACTCTATCACTGCTGCAGAATGAAAGGCTTGCTACTATGAAACAGCGTTTCTTCCGCCCATTGGTGGGAAAAGGTTCCACTGAAGGCTAATGATTGGTCACTCTGGCTGTCTGTCATGTGGAAGGGTGTGTTCCTACAGTGATAAACGTGGTCATATGACACAAACATACCACCCTGGAAGTAATGTGCTTGTTTAGGTGTGGTTCAGAGATGACGGGAGAGCAGAGAGAAGAGACAGTGGAGGAGGAAAGTGTATGCAGGGCAGCAGGAGAGAGATGGACAAATGAGAAAAACAGAAAAAAAGACAGATGTAGGCTGCATTAGATTCTGAATGCAAGATATGGACATGGTTATCCACGAAAATATTAAATACAAATACATCTAAGCTCAAATTCTGATGAATAGTTGGTTTGTTTCTCATTATTGGTGAAGATGGGCAGAAAATGTATGTACGGCCTCACAAAAAGCACAGATAAACAAACCAGCGGAAAGGCGAAATAGATTAAGACACATATTTTAGATAGCGACTTTTGTGACAATAACAGGGAAGCAAATAGGTAAACCGAGAAAGTAACAAAATAAAGAAGAAGAAATGGACATAACAATAACAAGGCAGCAGCAACCTGAGTCATGAATTCTCTGTTGAATGCAGCCATTCAGAGAATTAACACAGGCAGTATATGGTCAGCTAAGGGGTGTGAGGATCAGCAAGAAACCGGTCATATGATCCCTGGTCAGCCCTCAGCTATTAGAGAGAGAGTGACAAACAGGAAGAGAGGCAGAACAAGAGAAAAACAACAAGAGAGGAAAAACACCAGTGGTCCCTCCATGCTTTGACAGTAGGTAATGGAGCTAACATTCGTCAGTTGGTGTGGTCGGAGGCTTTCACATCCTCTTACATCATGGTGAGGTGGAGGCCCACTAGATGCATTCCTCATAAGCTACCAATCAAAGGAAAGGTAAAACCGTCTGTTCTATATTCTGCTCTATAATGTACATTTTTGTGATGATCGTAGTATTTACATTACATTAAATCAAGAATATCTGCGGGATGAACTTTTCGGCATGTATTATAAATGACAGCGAAAGGTTTTATCCTGTGGTGTATGTGTGAGCGGTGATTGTTTGAATCAGTGAGGAGAAATGGGAGGCAAAGATGTAATGTTGTGTGACAGAGCCTATAGACAGTGACTAACCTTTGAGTCTACATGCAGGTACAGTATATGTGTATATTTATCTTGTTCTTTAATTCTACACTTGGAACCAGGCTTAAAATGAAATGGTTAGCTGCTTTTCGAAACACAGATTTGTCCATCTCAAAATGTTGTGCATCTGGGCATCCTGGTGGCCAACCTGTACCTAACTTGTGTTCAGGCAGGGATGTTTTGTTGTTTAACAAAGTTGTGAATGCAGTTGCATTGCCTGTGTGCTGAAATAAGTTTTTACATACATACATGTATGATTTGTTCCAGGTTGTCTTACGCAGCTCAGCAGAAGCCCAGCAAATACTGAGACGGTTACCAAACAGGAACGCGGCATATTAGAGGATCATCTGCTTCAAGGGAATCAAAAAACCCAAGAAAATTTGACTGTGTGGCACCAGCTGAAGAGACCAGACCAGAGGGAGCCACCTCAGGACTCAGGGATCTGCTCGATTTACTAACCTAACAACAAGACTGTGGGCACAGCAGAGTCCCACTCACCATGTACTCCCCTCAGAGTCTCCACCGCTGGGGCATCACACACAGTGAGAGTATGGAGCGGTTAGCATACAGCCAAGGTAGGTTGGGAAGTGTTATTTAAAAGAATAGCCCTATCTAATATATAATGATAACTCCTGTCAACTCCTACTGCAGCGTGGTCTTATACAATGTTCTTGTTCAATGGATTCATATCACTGGACTGAAACAAAGCATCTTCCCTGTCTGCAGTTCCTTCCTGTCTATTGTAATACCTGCAATCAGAAATATCCAATTTACATTGTTTCCACTCTGACCCTTACCCTTATAGAGGTACAGTAATGCTATAAGCCTAATATCAGTGAAAGTTAATTTCAGAGCACCTGTGATTAAATGAAGCATCCTCTTACTTCTGCAGGTGCACTAAAGTCTTGCAGTCGATCAGTATCAGCCGACTCGTACATTTAAACAAATCACCAGTCAGTCAAGACGGCGAAGTGGTCTTTATAGGCTGACAAGCTTTATCATAGAAAAAACAAGCTTTAAGATGTCTCTTTGGCCTCTGAGAGAAGGTGATGGGCATTGTTCGCAATTCTATGACTAAACTAAAATAATAAGCCGAATAATCAAGGAAATAATCAGCAGATTAATTGATAATTAAAACAATAATTAGTTGCAGACAGCCATGCATTTCATGTAGCATGCAGGTCTCACTTAAAACCTTAAGCATGTTTACCAAAGCCTGCTCAGCCTGACTCTCTACATGTACTTCTTCCTCCTCTTTACTGGTGCCTGTGTGGGTGTTTATTTTTTCCACTGTGATGCTTCTAAATTCTACTGAGAGCTTTCCTCCGTGGGTTCATAATATGACATTGAAAGTAAGGCCGTAGCCAGGACTTTGGAAATACTGAGGTCATGACTCCAAATTCCCCCAGCAGACCCTAAGAAAAATATGGACAAGCAACCAATCAAACCCTGTAAATGTCTTACAGAATTTAAAGAAATCACAACATTTTATTAATTATTTGAACTGTTTAATTATACTATATGTATTATGTATTTACAATTAAGGCATTTAGAAAATAAAGCTAACAACATTTTGCCTAAAACTATTAGATATTACAAAAAAAAACGTGTGTAGCAGGCCTACATTTTTACCACAGAATGTTACGACTACCACGTAGAATTTCAATACCAAAATGACCAGAAATACAGTTGTTGAGGAGGAATTCAGATCGTGTTGTTACTGAAGTAAAAGTGCATAAATATTATTGGGGAGATTTACTTAAAATGTGAGTATTCTCTGAGCAACAAAAGCCCCCTGTGAGTATTAGACAATTATATTATTGTGAAAGCCGCATAGTTTAATCTATTCACAATGCATATTTTATTAGCTCAAATGGTTTATATGTCAAATCTCGATTTGTTAAGTAGTTATAACTGTCAAAATAAGTGGAGCAAAAAGTACAATATTTATGGAAGCACTCAAGTAAAGTACAAGTACCTCAAATTTGTACCTAAGAATAGTATTTTAGTTAAGTATTTTAGTTACATTCCACCCAAGCAGAAATATTACCAACCTCCTTGGGGGCTGCAGCTTTCTACGAGAGATGTTGGACCTTTTTTTTTTTTTACTCAACTATATATCTTAAAATAGCTGTCTGGGTCCTCTTGTCTCCAAGCATCTCTGTCGTCTACACACAGTACCACCCTCCACCTGGTGGCAGCCCTGCAGTTCTTCCTTCTAGCAGCAGGGGGCGGCACACCCACAACACAGCGGTCACTGAAATCATTACGTAGCTAGTACTGCCTTTTGTGTATCTCGTGAGCCTGTTGACACCGCCCCTCCGGAGGGTGCAGCGGGACCGCCAGGAGCCCAACTGTCGGTTTTGGTCTACGGGCTACAAATGTCCACAGCACCGGGATGTACGGAAAACAATCGTATATCAACAAGCAGCTAACGGTCACCATGTAGACCGACACCAACGGTTTGCAGTACGGGAACGCTACGACGGTTGACTAGTCAGGCTTGTTGCTTTGGGCGCTATTACAGGTATTTTTATGCTACGGTTGTCACAATGGTCGCCGGTTGAATTGCTCAACGACACCAGCTCGCTAACGGTTAGCTAACCGTATGAATCTGGCTGCGTTCGCACCGACCAGCAGCTATATTTGTCTCAGAGGTACACGAACATGGCATCGCCTGCAGAGCACGACCTGGCGTTGTCTGAAGCGGACAGCAGCAAGGAGAAGGCTCAGATGTTTGGGATTTTGAGGCTGCAGGAGGAGAAATCTGGTGTTGGGGATAAAGCTAACAGTAGCAACACGGCGAGAGGAGGAGGTAGTAGTGGAGGTGGAGGAGACGGGCGATGGCAGGCTCCCATCTTCGCTTTGGCCAGGAAAGCATCCGAGACCATTTCAGGGAGCATTCACGTGCTGCCCAAAGTGTCGGAGCACAGGACGTCTCTTTCCGGGGACTGGACCGTCCAAGGTAGAGTATTATCATAAAGGGAGTGTCTGGTTAGTAATAAAAGATCTGAAGGCACCCAGTAACCCTTAGCTAACTGTGCTTATCAGTTGCTTAACACAGAACAGACCCCCCCCTGATATCTTCAGGAGCATCCAGACATCTTCTAATCGGAGCACTGGTACTAGTTCCAGCTGGTGTTGGTAGATGTGCTAATGTGACAGACCTAGCTGGCTACATATCCTCCTTGTTCTTTCATATCTAGCATTCCCTCATCACTCTGTGTGTGTGTGTGGCCAATTGATTTTCCAAATAGCTCACATGCTTTGATGGTACAGCCTCGCATATTAATGTTAGCAGCGCTGCTGCTGTTTCTACCGCCACACAACTGCACAGCCCGAGGCGTCACATGCCGCACTGATGCACATGGGAAACACATGTTCTGTCTTTTTTATTTCCTTTGGGGTTTTCACCATGCATAGTGGTGTTGTCTGTATTTGTTTGCTGCCTTGATATCACTACAAATAACGTTTTAGTATAAGCTAATATAGTATAGTATAGTTAGCAGCTGTAACTAACTAAATATTTTTGTTTTCATGTTTTATCAATTAATTTTTTTCGATAAAATATCAGAAAATTGTAAATATTTCCATCACAAATTTCCAGAGCCCAAGCACACTCGCAGTCTGAAACCCTAATATATACATTTTTTACGATGATATAAAACAGATAAAAGCAGCAAATAATAATTTTTAAGAAGCTGGAACCAGCAAAGGTTTCTCATTTTTGCTTGACAAGCGAATCATAATAGTTGCTGATTAATCTTCTGATGAGCGACATCTTCTGTTGTTTCTGCAGAGCTCCGCACCAGTGTCTGTCTGACAGTAGACGTTCACACACACACACACACACATACACACACATTTAGTTTCTGACAGTTTCCAGGTGTCCATCACAGACGTGCATTTGAATTCTGTGACATCTGAATCATTTGAAATAACTGAATAGTTGTTTCAGGCATTCAGTGCAACATAACTTCTTCATTGATTGTTTGTTTGTCTTTCTTTTAACAAGAACACAGTAGATACATTTTAGGGGAATGACCTTTTAATGATCAAAGATTTTAAAAATCTACACAGTTGCATTCACACTCAAATCTCAATTGAAACATCCAGACACGTAGCTTTTCACTTGTCAGTGTTTGATGTGTTGTAGTAGCAGTCACATGGTGACACAGGCATTTAAAGGGTTATTGTTTCTTTCTTAGTATCATCAGGGCGTAGCACCAACGAACTCCCAAAAGTCTTGCTCACTCCCAAGAAATCATCTGTTGATTTGTCAGCATCTCTGCCTCTGGGCCATTAAAGCTCTCTGTCATTGCTAGGCAACATCTCTGCACTTTTCCACCTGTCTGTCCTGCTCTGGTGTTTAGCTACACATTAACCACATTAACCCGGAGGTCCACTCAAAGTGTAGAGCACTTAAAGACATATCTCTGTGGGAGTTTCTCTGTTTCAGTCTCAGGCTCTGGAGTTGTTCTAGAAGGCAAATGTTCAAAGTTAGCTGCAAACAAGACAATTTATCGAGCAAAGTTATACAAATGTATGTACTGCATTGTTCTGTGTGCCTACAGTGAGCTGACATAAAAATACAAATGATCTGTTTTTAGGGTGTATTCTGCTTTCAAAGCACTTACTTTACTTTTACTGTACATTTCCACAGTAAGCATGTTTCTGATAATGACCATAATGACCAGCTGTAATACATCACAGCTGTAATACATTACATTATAAGCATATTTTAAATGAAGTGCTCGTGTGTGGCTTTTCTCCTGCAGCCCTGCGAGATCCCATGGCTATGGAGCGAGCCAACCTGCTGAACATGGCCAAGCTGAGTATTAAAGGGCTGATTGAGTCGGCTCTGAGCTTCGGACGAACTCTGGACTCAGACTACCCCCCTCTCCAGCAGTTCTTTGTTGTCATGGAGCACTGCCTCAAACATGGCCTCAAAGGTAAGAGGAACCTCCCAAGAGGAAACTCCCAACTTATTAACATTCAATATCAAAGGGTTCCTAGTTAGTTTTTTTTGATGTCCATGTGCTACTGCTTGTCTATTCTCTCTGCAGTGAAGAAGTCCTTTCTGGGCTTTAACAAGTCTCTCTGGGGTCCTCTGGAGCTGGTGGAGAAGCTGTGTCCTGAAGCAGCAGAAATCTCCGCCTCTGTACGAGACCTGCCTGGACTTAAGTAAGGAGTAAAAACACACACCTGTGCTCACACACAAGTTAACCTTACATTGTGCTGGGGGAACATGAGCCACAACACAACCACACACACTCACATTTACCAGTAACATGAGAATGTGACGTGAGCCAGAGCAGGGAAATACCTGACTGTTATTTACTTTCACTTCACCTTTCCTCTCCCTGCTACCTCACTTCCTCCAAATTCTCTAGATCTTTAATATTCTTTCGTCTCTTTGTAACTAATATAGCCAGAATAGGCACATTTTTAGTCAGACACAGTGTTAACAGCACTGAGTTTAAAATTCAGTAAAGATTAGTCATTATACTGTCAATTTTGGGCAATAGACATCTTTTAAAAGCAAAATCAGTAATGGTGCAGTAGTATGTTTGTATATTTGCTAACAGTTGTATGTTTTTCCACATCATGCTTTACTTTGTTATTCACTTCTCAGTCACACATACCAGAGCGTCTAGGCCTGACATCAAGTGAGCAATATTCAGGTCTCGCTGATCCAGCTAAATGGGGAACAGCCGTGTTGTTTTAGATGGAGAACAGACTGTGTTTCCTTTGGTGCTGCTGAGTCAGACCAACGGACATGTAGCAGAGCAGTGTTTATGCAACACCATGTATGACAGTGCAGGCGTTTTAATCGTTGAGATGAAAAAGAAGGAAGTTAATTAGATGAGCCCATGTTAACTGTAGACTGCAATAAACACATAGAAGAACCTAATTAGATCCAAACAACAAAACAAAGCTCAAATCTTATCGTGTGTGTGTGTGTGTGTGTGTGTGTTTCCCAGGACTCCATTAGGCAGGGCCAGAGCTTGGTTGCGTCTGGCTCTCATGCAGAAACGGCTGGCCGACTACCTACGACTCCTCATCACCAGAAAAGATCTGCTCAGGTACTCACATATTTACACATAACAATTGGTACATTTGACTTGTTTTAAAAAATATACCTTAATTAAAGTATATACTTTTTATATTTTCTTGTTTCCAAGTTTCAGCTATAGACAAAAAAATGTTTGGCTGAAAAATATTGGTGTTGTTAAATAATATTAATGATAAAACAATATTGTTTTTAATCAATTTAATACAAATTCTGACAGCTTGTACTTACGCCAAAGACATTTTACATCCACAGTAACACTACTGAGCTAAAACCTAAAATAAAGCCCCTTTTTTGCTTTTACCTAAGCTCCCTTAAATATTTGAGGATCTGTTGTATCTTCCTCCACAGTGATTTCTATGAGTATTCAGCACTGATGCTGGAGGAGGAGGGAGCAGTGATAGTGGGCCTGCTGGTGGGTCTCAACGTCATCGATGCTAACCTGTGTGTCAAAGGCGAGGACCTGGACTCGCAGGTAACCCCTCTCAGACAGTATTTAGACCACTTGACTAGAAGAACACATTTACACCAGACATTACGACATTGTTTTAATGTGGGCATAAAACATCTGATGATGTGGCTGCATGACAACACGTGTACAGCTGATATGTCTACTCTTCTCTCCATAATTGCATCTAATTTTCCACTTGCACCAAACTAAGCAGAGAAGCAAATATATGTCTTATGTTAATAAAAAATGACTCCACTTGCTGTGCATACAAGTTCACGGACATGAAACAGTTTATCGTCAGTGACTCTAGTTTAGGGAAGCGGACAACACTTGTTTGATTTGTCGTGTTATCTTTGCATCAGGCAGAGAGAGAGCAGCCGCTGTGGTGTCATGTTTCTACGGGTGGACTCTTTGTCCTGAGTGCAAACACATTTTCTCACTAATGCACCCTGTTCAGACTGTGTTTACACTTGACTGAATGTGGCTGAGACACTTGTAACATGAAGCGATCTGGAATAGTTTGTTTGGATATTTGTACATTTGATGGCAGGTGTAAAAGAGATTCCATATATATATATATATATATATATATATATATATATATATATATAAAAAATAAACTTCATTTTGAGTGATGCCAGCTTGTCTTGTCTATCTTCTCATGAGGTCGGGGTGATCGACTTCTCCATGTACTTGAAGAATGACATTGATGATTACAGGAGTGAAGAGAGGTATTGTCTGTTATTATCTCTCCACTATATTTAATACAATGGGTCTCTTAGCCCCCCCCCCCCTCCCCCAATGTGATGCAGAGCTCTGTTTTACATATGTTTCCATGGCAACAGGAATAGCCAGATAGCGTCCATCTTGGATCAGAAGAACTATGTAGAGGAACTGAACCGACAACTCAAGTAAGACATTTGTTTTTTCATTGGGTAACAGACGTGTCTGCAGGGACTTCCGCAGAGTTCAGGGAGATGATGATGTTATTAACTTCAAGATGATTTTAAGAAATAGAAGTCCTCTGTTTACAGTTCTGTGTCGACCTGAACAGTGGCTGATTTCTACCTCACGTTTTTCTTTACATCCATCTGATGTTGGAGACATGGTATGATGCCTTGAATCGAAGGCAAAAGGCTGATTGCACGTTAAAATATTCAGTCCATTTTGGTTTGAACCAGTCGGCTTGTTTCAGAAGTACAACTCCCTACAGACAGACTCCTTTAAGCACAGACTGTCAATCACACTTCCTCTTTCAGTTTGTCTTTTTTTTCTCACAAACTTGGTATCACATTTCAATGAAACTGGATTGATCTACTTTCTTAAATGGAATTGTAGTTCTTTGAAATCTTTCTTCAAAACTCGCACCTGTGATTTGGGATGCACCAATTAGTACTCTGAGTACTGAACCGATACCTGTGTTTAGTTAATAAGCTGTGTGCCTCACTGTGTGGAAGTGACTGGGATCATTCTTTTATGTGTAAGGCAACGTCAGACAGAACATAAGCTAAGCTAGCCATGGCACTACTGTATTGGTGCTGTGGCCATTGAAAGTTAAATTCAGGTCCGTCAGTCTGGGGTGTGACACTTCAGTCCTTTAAACATGTGAATGTCATTAAACCTCATAAACACGATAATAGCTCAAAAGCCACAGTTGTTCTCCATTTAGCTGTATCTAATTGAAGAGGGCAAATGTCTGTTTAAGTTACACATTTTAACACCTCTGTATTGTGATATAGCCACTATAGTCCCATTCCCATATTCTGAATAATATGTTGGCACAATAAATTCAGTGAGAATCAAAATAAACAGAATTTGATTACAATTTGTTTGTACGATGTGTTTGTGTGTCTAGCTCCACAGTTCATGGTCTTCAGGGCAGAGTGGAGTCGATGGAGAAGTCCAACTCTAAACTCGTAGAGGAGGTGAGATCCACACTCAAAATATCTGCGTATTAGATTTAAACTAAAGGTAAAAGGCGGCACTTTAATGTCAGAGTTTAAGTGCACATCTCTACATGATGACTGAAGTCATCATGCTTTGTCTTTTACATGTTATCATAGAATCTGATCTCATTATTTAGCCAGATATGTTTTGATGAAATCACAGTGTCGGTGCAAGCATTGTTGTCAAACTGTTCTTTGTGATCAACTAAATTATTAAAAATGTTTTGTGTGCAGTTAGCCATAGCCAAGAACAACATCATCAAACTGCAGGAAGAGAACCAGGAGCTGAGGAGTGAAAACAGCCTTATTCTGCTGAAGACACAAGAGCATTTAGAGGTACGCATGCACACGTCCAATGTCTTAAATCACAGAGAAACATTGATTTGATAAAGATTTTGCTGCAGCCACAACTGAAACCAACACTGTAGATCTACCCCCTTAAAGGATAACTTTGTTATTTTTCAACCTTGACCCTATTTTTTCATGTTTTATGTGTAAGTGGCTAATGGAGACAACCATTTTGTAATTCTATTCAGTACGGAGGGAGAATGCTGCAGACGGCAGCTGCTAAACAGGCTAAAAGTGCTTGTTTTTGCCTCTGACGATTGTTATTATAAGTGTCCAACAACATTATGGAAAGGACCCTACAGAGAAATACAACTTTTTCTTAACCTTTGCTTTCTGTTTGTTATTGTGTCATGTGACTTGTTGCCAAAAGGCAACGGGTGAAACATGAGTGAGAGTTGGAGAGAGTGGTGCCATGGTGACACCATTCTCTCCGGTGGTGGCTGAGTTTGTTGTGTTTGAGTCGGTTTGAGTACAGAAAACGTAGCTAAAGGTTATCTAAAAGATTTTAAACGTCATGGCTGAATATTAAGAATCCTTTGTTAATGTCAGAACCAGACTTCTCCGTGCGAGACACACATTAACAAACAGACCTGATCAAGCAAAAGGTAAAGAATACCTTTTTTTTGTACATTGGAAAATAGGGTCCAGGTTGAAAAGTACAGAAGTTATCGTTAAATATTCCATCAATTATTACCAGCTCTGACTACAAATTGATGCATGGTATGGCTGACGTGTTCTTCACGTTGACGTAATTTATTTAGGTAACCCAAGTCGATGCGTCAGTGGAGAGAGATACATACAAACAGTCGCGTCAAGGATTGGATGAGATGTACAACGATGCTCAAAGACAACTGAAGGAGGAGTGTCGGCTCAGACAGGTCAGACTGTGACTGTGTGTGTGTGTGTACTATATATTGTGACAGCGTAACAACAGATTATATGCATGTATGTGGTTTATTTTTAGGATGTGGAGAATGAGCTGGTAGTCCAGATGTCGATGAAACAGGAAATGGAGTTGGCCATGAAACTCCTGGAGAAAGATATTCATGAAAAGCAGGTCAGCCTACATTTTCCTTTCACTTCACTCCGTCTTCCTTTTTGAACACTGATTTATTTACAAAATGTCTCAAGAGATGAAAGTGGACAAAATATTGACAAAAGGAAATACTTTAAAATATAAGACATTTAGTTTTATTCAGTATTATCCATAATGACTTACAATGAATACACAAATAGAAAAAAATCACAAAACATGAAGAATGAACAATGTACAAAGAAACATGGGTTATTATAGGATTTTCATATTGGTGGATTTGTTAATGGTAAGTTTTACAATCACAGGAGAGATGAATGAGAAAGGACTCAAATTAAAATAATGATCATAAGAATGCTGTGGTTGCTCTACAGACATAATGTCATCACAATGGGAGAGCACATGATAACGAACCCTTTGGGGCCTCAAACTAAACATATAGCACCAGCCCATACTTGCACACGTAGAGCAGTAGCATCTTGCCAGCTCTTGTGCCTGTTTGTCTCTAGCAGCCCTACCAGTGTCGGGCCTTTCACCACCAACACGTGAACTCTGCTAACTAAACGCCACCAGCTGACATTTCTAGCCGAGCTGTGACATACAGTAGCTGTCAGGGCAGCAGCATCATCACACATCCCAGCAGCCTGCTGACATCTTTGCACAGGAACATGGGGATATTTGTATCACGCATTGTGACTTACAGTTTGTACAAAATATATTTCAGCTTGCTTACAGGTAGCTCTGAAATGTGATATATATATATATATATATATATATATATATATACACTCCAAAAATGGCCTTTAATCATCACTATGTTTGTTCGTATGTAGTCCTGAGTTAAATTTTGCACAAAACCCCAGTGAATAAATGATTTGAGAGGATCAATAGATACACAAATAAAAATAATACTGAAGCCCTTAAAAGACTGAATGAATGGATGAAAGAACAAATAATAAAAGAGCAGCATGCTGAATTACAGTGAAACTGTTGCAGGAGACTTGATAGTGTGACCAGGACAGTCAATACAGGATACGAACACATATGAAGTCTTTGTTTTTCATCAACAGGACACACTGATCGGACTGAGACATCAACTGGATGAAGTCAAAGTCATCAATGTAGAGATGTACCAGAAGATGCAGGTAAAAACACTTACATTCTCACCGGGTTGCACTTGTTCTCTTGTCATACACAGTGCACATACTTTAATTTTTACTATTACTTATGACTTGTTCTCATTTGTTAGTCGTCTGATGAGGAAATGAAGAAGAAGAACGACGTGATCACTCGTCTGGAAGAGAAGACCAATCAGATCAATGCCACCATGAAGCAGCTGGAGCAAAGGTGAGATATGCTGCCTGTGAAGGAACAGCACGCACTAATCAAAACAGGAATATCACTTTGTCCCATGTGTCTCCTCAGTCTCTCCTTCAATCTTCTCTGTTGTTCTGTTAAAACCTTTGAACTGCAGTCTGTCATTGAATTACCAAAACATACATAATCCTCCTTTAACAAAGTGAGTCTGATGTCTCTGAGACCCTTTTAACAGCGTTGACTTGTAATATTGAACCTGAATTATGCAATAGAACTTTTTCACAAAAAAGGTGTTGTTTTTCTTAAACCAGATAATGATGCTCTTTTTAATATTTACTGCAAAGTACATGGTTATGAATAGTTCTGCATGGTGAAGCTATGCAGAAGGGAACTGGGGGAAAACATGGTGGGAAATGATTTGAGCCTTCCTCCTCATCAGTGATTCAGGTTTGCTCATAGGACGTTGGTGAGGAGGTTGTATTCCTTGTCTCCTTCTTATTTAGCTTCTGTTTGTCCTGCAAACACAAAAAGTTCAACAGTTATGAAACCTAAAATAAAATGATCCGATTAGGGTTTTACCTAACATCGCTACGTGTGATGGGATTGTTAAGTCTCAGTTTCGTTACTAGTTCGCAGCCTAAACAATCATCAAATACATTGCCATTGTTACGTGAAGTAGCTCCTTCTTCTCTCTTCCCCTGAAATTAAAGTGTATTATTCCTTTTGACTTTAGCGAAGGTGGTCTTAATTCAGCTTTTTCATGAAATGGCAAATGGATTCACTAAAAAGTGTTTGCATATTAAATCTAAACATTATAAACGTACTGTCCAAAGTTGAAACAAAATAATAATACATTGTTATTTTCCAGTGGAAACCCTCAGAATGTCCAAAAATGTCAAACATTTTGGGAAACAAGAAACGGTCATGTTTTAGGTGTAATTATTATTTTTTGCATTATCCTAAAGTATTTTTCTTAGTGCAAAAGTTGCCAAAAATTAAGATACAAAGCTTATACTTGAAACAGACTTTTACTAAAATAACCCAAAAATATGCTTGAATTGACTCCCAATGCGCTTAGAATAAAGACCACCTCCACTGGCATCATAATATCACACAAAGTTCATACATTTCTATGACTCATTAGAGATAGTGTTTGTTGTCTTAAGAAACCATCAAGAGTCTCTTTTGCAATGACGGAAGCTGGCAACACTAGTTCCCCCAAAACAGGTTGGTAAACGCACAGGTTACCAACTCAGCTTTAACCTTCAGGGGAAAAGAGCAGAAGCAACATTTTCCACAGCAAATACTGTATTGAATGCTATTGATTAGGCCATCACCCGCTAACTAAACTGATTACAACACGAAATAGATCAGGGAATGATAAACACGTTTCATGCATGCTATGTTGTCTTGGTCACTGCTGCACCACAATCCGTGTATGATGCTCCATATTTCCGTATCAGTCATTATGAGACCTGCTGGTTCATTGGTGTGTGTTATGATTCCTCTTCACCTCATCGTCTACCAGTCAACACGATCCATCCCTCCCCCCCCACTCTCCCATTAGTTTAAATCTGTTCCATCCTATTTGTGATTGGTTGTGAATGTTTTTTGCTGCTCCAAAGGTGTTTGTATAGTAGGCTGGTAGGACACAGACCCCGGTTACACGTTTTTTTTTCAGTGGGAGTTTTGTGTTGCAGCTGAAAAATCAAATGAAGAAGTAAGAAGTGTCCTGACAGAGCCTCTGTTTAAGATTATTTACCTGCTAATTAGAGATAAATCTCCCCCTCAGAATTGAACATGTTGGCTTCTTTAGAGAGGTCAGGCATACATCTCTCATGTTGATAGTATACTTCTGTGCACACTTCACCTGACAATTCCACTTTTTGTCTGATCTAGTTTTATTCACTTATCTGTCCACATTACCTTTCCGTGCTTCTCCTCCCCACCTCTTCTCATTACTCGTACATATACTGTGGAGGGAAATCTGGTGACAGTGGCAGTCTGCAATCAGATTTCTGTGTTTTAATGCATTTTATTTACACTCACTGCTGTGCTTGTGATGTTAAAAGTCACTTAAAGTGTTCAGTGTAACCGGGGCCACTTAGAATACTGATGTATTGACATCCTTTCTTCCTTCCTTCTTTTCTTTCCTCCCTTCCGTTTGTCTCTTTTATACCGTCCATCCAATCATCCATCCATCCGTTTTGCTCCCTTGATACCACGTTTCCTTGATTTCCTGATTTTATCCCCTCTCCTCTGTGCAGTGATAAGGATCTGCTAAGTCAGACCAGAACGCTTGCTATGTCATTTGTTAAGTGTGCCAGCAAAGACACAGAGCACCAGTACAAGCTAGTCAAGGACATCTCCTTCTGAGGAGAGACCTGACCCACACACATGCAGACACATGGTCACTTATGATTGAATGAATAAACGGACTAAACTTAAAGGAACATTCCTGTTTTTTTGCACACAATATTCAGACGGTTTAATGGCCAGAGAGCAGCCACATAATCAGGTGAAACTAGAATGCATGGTTTAGTCCTTCAGTTACTAAAACATTGTCGTCACCAGCAGATTGCTGGGATTCATTGAGGCCACTGCAGCATGTTTCAAGATCTTTAGTTGAACCCTCCTCAGACAACATTACTGGGTTTGTGTTAAAAGGGTTTCCTCTGAATTTCCTCATCTAGGTGGTCACCAAACTGTCTGAATATTATATTAATTGTACTTTTAATAGAAACATTTTGAATTAATCGTTTTATTTATTCACTCTCATGCTCAGCCGTGTACACACACACACACACACACACACACACACACACACACACACACACACACGTGTGTATGCCACACATTCGTCCTGCCTCCAGTAGTCAGTTTATATGCAGTAACACTGACAGTGAGATAGTTGACTCTGAGATGTTATCAGAGGGTCGTTGTTGTAGTTCAGATTGAGTTAGAATGAGTATAGAGGCCCATCCCGCTCGTATCACAACTACTTTATCTGGCAACACCCAGAGCTACTAGTTAACAGAGTTGAGTCTCTGTAGTATTTAGGGACTGCGTAAATGATTGGGTCGTGATTATCTCAGAACTTGTGATTCTGTGCTTGGCTGTCTTTTTACTTTATTGCAGCCAACACTGTTTAAGTCTAAAGCACGAGCAGGATCATGTAACCTGCATTTCATCACAGTCAGTCAGTGGTGTTCACTATAATTGTTAAGGCAGACAGAAGTTTGCTTGCGCAACCTCCTGCTTTTAATTTGTTGCCATTTTGCTCTGCATGTGACCTGCTTCTGACTGGCTGTGATGACCCTTGCTGTGCCTGATTTCTTTCCCTTGTTCACTCACTCATTATTCTCCTTATAATACACACTCAGTTTACTCTGTACTGAGCAGTAATGTAAGCTTTCGGACACTTATCTCCCACTCATCATCACTGACCGTTGACGAAAATGTTAGAAATTGTATTGTGGGATTGTGAGCAGAAAGTAAGGCACGTGCCGTGGATGCTACTTTTTTCGTTTTTGAGGACGCTATGTAATGGATATTTGGATTTCACACTCGGATTTCGACCCTAAATTGAAATGGCAAAAGGTTAAATATAGTGCACTCTACAGTTAAAAAGGGAGTGATTTCGGAAACATCCCGTCTCCTTCTTGCATGGATTTAACAAAACTGAAGATTGTAAGATTTTGCAGATGTATGCAGCTCAGTGGGACCAGCACATTTGCTTTGTTTCTGCAGAACAGACAGAACTGAGCCACATGTAAAGACTTTTAGATACACAGCTGTAAACCTCTGTAGCTTCTCTCAAGGGAACTTGAATGTGTTGATGTCTCTCGTCTTGGCATATTTAATGACTTATGTGATTGATCAGGAAGTAATTATTCTACCGATTCTAACTCTGCGTTCATAGTACTGTAACTCCTCTCAATTTTTAGAAGAATATACTATCGGTACACTAATGTCTTTTACCACCGTGACAAATAAAGTTAGATGGTTTTAAAGTGTTGAGTGTGGTTTGAATTTTTGGCCATGTTCAGACATTGGACATTTATTGTGTAATAAAGCTCTTAATCAACTGTAAACCAGGGAGTTGTGGGATTCTTCTCACCCAAAAACACACTACAAAAGGGTCCTTCCTGTACAATATCGGGTGAAAACAATGCAGTTGGCATATTAATATTCAAAATGCTTTGAATATATAACGTATTATTGAAAAAGACATGCAGGTCAAGATGCAGTTAGCTTTCATCTTTTTTTTGTTGTCCATTCAGTTGCTTTAAGGCATTTCTTCCTCATTGTTTCATCATGCGTCTTATTTGGACTCACCCGTTTGTATTCCTTACTGTTCTGTTTTGAACCCTCTCAATTCTTCTTCTCTCTGAGTTTGACTCTCTGGTGTTGTGGCGAAGAAAATGACAACACCATCCTTTCCCTCAACCTTCTTCATTCATCCTCAACCATCCCTTCTTTCTACCCATAAACCTCACTCCTTAGCCTTCATCCTCCTTCCGGTCTTCCTCCATTATTTTTTTCCCTTTCCCTCCACACTCCCCCTCCCCTAGTTTTTTCGCTCCATGGCCCTGAGTTTGTCCCTGGTTATAATGGTGCAGATTACAGGAGGCAGAGAGGCACCGCACCTTGGCCGAGGAGGGGACCAGACGCTTCAAGTTGGACTTTGCCAACAAGGCCGACAGCCTGCAGCGGCAGATCGAACACAGAGAAAGGCAACTGTAAGCAAAATCCCTTTAAAGACAGACTGATGGGTAGACTCATCCACACACATACATACATAAACACCTAATCTAGAGAATCTGGTGCTCAGAGAGAGACACAACAAAGTAAATACACAATAAGCTGTGTTGCATGTAAGCCAGCTTTTGGTGAAAAAGCATTTCTCACTGAAACTGTCATAGACCTAGGACCAGTAAATAACAATCAAAACAAACATATACAAACCAGTGTGCCCTTACTTTGTCTCTTGTTGGTCATCTTTATTATTGTTATTGGTGTTGTATATTTATATATGTGTTTGTGGTGTCCCTTTAGCCAGCAGCTAGAGACGGACCTGAAGATAGAGAGGGAGTGGAGGCAGACGTTACAGAATGATCTAGACAGAGAGAGGGATACGGTGGCTCAGCTCAGCACAGAGGCGCTGCAGATCAACGGGCTAAAAAAGGTAAAAGAGACGTACCATGTATGTGATATTTTATGTTTTATTATAGTATATAACTTTGTGTGTGCGACCCAGCATTTGATCAGATACATGTCTTCTGTTGTTTTGTGTTATATGGTTTTTTCTTAGGAGTTCCATCGTCTCCACGATGAAAACATTCAGCTGAAGATGATCTGCGAGGACCAAGAACAAGCTCTCGAGGAACTAGGCTCCAAACTGAGCGAGTATGTATGCTTTGTTTAAAAATGTCTGCACCCTAATCAAGCTGTTAGAGCCTTTAACAGAGCGTTAACAGAGCGTTAAAGGCTCTAACCTTTGAGGGAAACTGTTTATGCCTCCACGCTGATGACAGCAGCTCACCGGGTTGTCGGTCCGTCCTATATCTCCTATAAAACAATATCTCAGAAGCGGCTTGAGTGAATTTTTTCAAACATCCACTTGGACTCGAGGATTAACTCATTAGATGTTGGTGGTCAAAGGTCAAGATCACTGTAACCTCAAATGGGTCCTATTCTCGTGATATCTTAGGTATGCCTTGAGCAAATTTTCTCAAATTTGGCACAAACATCCACCTGGACTCAAGATCAACTGTTTTAGTTTGTGGTTATCAAAGGTCAATGTGCTCTTATGCTCATCCCATCCTCGTGAACGTGATATTTCAGCAACGCAGTAAACTGCAACTTGACTAGTTGGCAGAGGCAGACAACCGTGAAGTGGTTGTATTTACTTATTTCCTTTACGTAGCAGTTTTATTCATTTTGTCATCAGATCCAAACTGAAGATTGAAGACATCAAAGAAGCCAACAAAGCTCTTCAGGTAAATTAACTGAGTTAAACGTAGCGCAAAGAAAGTCTTTTAATGTCTAATGTTCTAATGTCTGTCTATTCCAAACCCTTTCATCACTAAAATGGAAAAGTTAGATGAGATATTATTAAAAGAGCAGAGAGAGAAATCAGAGAAAGAAATATAGTAATTGTTATTGTTGATTAGTGAAGTGTGCTCTGTTTTGTAACGTCTGTTATGTAAAATGAGGGTGAAACTGAGATGTACTGTATTGTGCTGTTGCAGGGAGGTCAGGTGTGGTTGAAGGACAAGGAAGCCAGCCACTGCAAGCTGTGTGAGAAGGAGTTCTCCATCTCAAGACGAAAGGTCAGTCAGCAAATTACCACAAATAAGACATAAAGACTCTCTATTTTGTGTTGTCCCGCATCTGAAATCCTTTATCTAAACTATCATTGTACTGGAAATCATCTCAGGGCGGCTGATGTGTTGGTGAGGAAGTTAGTGATCCACATCCTTTTTATGCATAGTTAAATGCTAACTGATTTGAAAGCTTTTCTATTTTGATTTACTTCCTGTTTTGAAAACTGTTCTATGGCCGGTATTTGTTTTTAGATTACGACGAGAAAATAACTTCTAGTGAGTGCTATCATTTACAGCCACCATGCCTGAAAAGACAACTTGCAGAAACTCGACAAGACATTTGAGGATACATGCGTTACTGACATGGCTTTAGCCTCAAGGGATCTCAAGCAGTGCTGTAATGAAATATGAATTACTCAAGGGATAGAAGATAAATCAGCAAGTTGGTTCCCTCAGCAGCTAATTTGCACCCATAAGCACACCACAACAATGTCAACTTTATTTTGACATACTTTCTGTATTTCCCTCCAGCACCACTGTAGGAACTGTGGGGAGATTTTTTGTAACAGCTGCTCCGACAATGAGCTCCCTCTGCCCGCCTCACCGAAACCAGTGAGAGTCTGTGACACCTGCCACGCCCTCCTCCTCCAGCGATGCTCCTCCAATCCAACGTGAAGGAGCCGGGACTGCTTCAAACAATCTGAGATCAAACTCACAAATTCCCATCCTCTGGTTCTCTGTAAGATCCATCTCCCAACTTCTCTCAACAGAAATGCTGCTTGAAATGGACCGTGTGCATGAACATTTAGTGCGTTTGATTCATTCATTTACAGTCAGCAGAAAAAAGCAAGGGTGTCTGCATCATTCTGACACGTCTATGTTTGTATTTATTATTGCACTGTCTCTTGTAATCCGAAACAGAGGAGGAGGCCATTTTATATGCTAGATAAACAACAGTTGTACAGACTAACCATTTACAGTAAATTCCATCAGTCCAGACTGATGGAGCAATGCAAAACAGGACTGTCTGAGGACAGAGCTCTGCTATTAAAGGAGGAACTACTTTACCATGAACTGATAAGCACTGCTGCAGCTAAATGGAGATTCTCAACCAAACCTATAGTCTTTTGAAGGACTGCATCATTATAATGTATGTACCAGGCTTCAAACTCTATACAGTAACTGTATAGCCAAACAGATGAGATTACATATTTAATACATACTGTATCGTGGCCTTATTACCGAGTCTTGACTGCAAAGCACTCCTCTTTTCAAGTGGAGGGAAATGAACACAAAAATAAAGGCAACATTTTCACAGGCACAAAAGATCAAGTCAACCAGACAGGTTAATTCTACTTAAAGTTAAAGTTACTACAAGGAACTTTCATTTTGTGTCGATTTTGGCGACCCCTGTGGAGAAAGTGGTAGTGTTTCCGAGCACCTGATTCCCTGAAGAAAACCTCTCATTTTGCTGCAGCAGGTGTCTGACCGTCTGCTCCGCTCAGTGCTGGTTCTGGTTCTCCCGTGCCTCTCTTCCCTCCAGCGGACCCAGCAATACGGGCTGGGTCTCCGGCAGCAGGGACCGGTGGTGGAGTAGCAAAGCGAAGCTCACCCCCTGGCAGTAGACGCTTAGCTCTCCCGCTCCCACCGGAGCTTACGACTGCAGGTCGAAGGCTGCAGTGAACCGGGTCCGGTTCTGTCCGCGGTGGGCTGGTTGCTGCTGGAGGCCCTGCTGCAGTCTGAGCTAAAGGAATTTCTGGTGAACCTGCATTATTTCATCTGATTTTGCGCGGAACCCGACCCAGTGGCACCGCTGACAATCACTAAGAATAAGTATATAGAAATAACCAATCTTCTGTCTGATGGTCTCGTTTACTTATGTAGGTCATATAGAGGCATCTGTTTTAATTTCAGACAGTTTCATAACCAGTTCAAAGTTCATCACAGTTACTTTATTTGAAATATATTTCTGTTTAATTGACTGTGAGAAGATCAGGACTGGTCTCATTTTTTTGTCCCTGTTTTAATTGCAGTCATGTCACAGGACATATATAACATGGAGATATATTTTGTGACAATGAGACAGACTTCTTGCAAATTAATTCCAGGAAAATTCAAAGCAGATGTTGTTCTGCTGACACAATGACCAGACTAGTTCCCCATGGGGCTGTGGTTTTCAAAGGAATGGAACATCTTTCTTTTCTTCTTTTTTTTTTTTAAACAATGTTGGTGCCATTTGTGCCTGTGGAAATGCCGTGAATATTACGTACTTGTGCTTCTCTTGTTTCCAAAATGAGTTCTAGATTTCTACAGAGAGGATTTCTGTTGAGGGAATTTAAAATACTTAAAGTAGCAACTCTAGCCAAGCAAAGCGATCTAGAACATTTCACTGTTAGTTTTCGAACACTAATGCAGTGGAAGCTGCTTTAAGGACCAAGAAGAGCAACAAATGCTGTCATCTCCGGTGCCTAAATGGCTCTTTAGTTGATGTACCACTGACAGCTAGCTCACAACATGACCACTTCACTGACTAGTTAAGAACAGACTTTATGGTTACACACCTCTCACACAATAGCCAGTAGGTTTGAGCACTTGGCAATCCTATATTACCTCTACTATGGATTAATTTGAAAGTATTTATATTTGATTTTGTATTTCATGCACATTCATTTTTACTTTTAGAAGTCCAGGGAACTTGTTTGAGCTTTCCCTGTTTACTTGAAGTAAGTTGTGAAAAGAACCACATTTTACTGCTGCTCCATTTCTGAGAGGGAAAGTTTGAAACTTTAAACCAATTCAGTTCCTTTCTGTTGAATGTGTTGTTAAACTAATGCTGATGACTGTACGGTCTTCAGTGACGGGTTATGATACGAGTTCCATTGCACATTCTGGTGTTGTACTTGTACAATGTTTACAACCTATGACTTTTCAAGTACTGGACGTATTCATTACCATTAAGAGATAAAACAGGCCTGGGTTCATTTCAATTCAATTTAAAGTGTTTTTATTGTTTCAAATATTTAAAAACTCACCAATTTATCATATCATCATTAAGTACTATGGGCAAGTGTTCCTGAAATGCACCCAGGCCTAAAACCTTTTTGTACAGTGTCGTTCTTATAGATCTCCCAGCTTTCAATGGGACTTATACGGTGTTGACGCCACTGTATGTTGTATATACATAATTGTTGATAATCACGCTGACCCTTTAATTTAAAGTTAAAGTTTACTTAATCTACCATTTTAATATTATCTCTATTGCCAACAATATGTTGTCTTGACTGTGTAGCAGTTTCTGATTAAATCACATCACAAACAGAATTGTTCATATTGTTTGCTGTCATATTAATGGTGGTCATTGGAATTTCTTCTGTGAACATTTGCTGTTTTTGCCCCGTTTGGGTCTTTTTCTGCTGGTGTCTTGCTGAAATCAACTCTAATTTAGTTCCCCTTTAACACACCTCATAAGTATAATATTGATAAATATGTTTTCTAGCACAAATGTGTTTTCTTCGGGTCACGGAGCTGGCCTCATGTTCTACAGTAGTAGAATCCTACACACTGCACCTTTAAGTATAGAATTTACAAAGCAGAGTGTAGAACAGCTGCCTAAGCTATTTTACAGCTTAAATATATATTATTTTACTTCCTTTCTTTGAGAGTGGAATACAATATTAGTTTTAAATGATGTCATGAACCTTGAATATATTCATAAAAAACTCACAACTCACTTATCAAACCATTTGAACCAAGAAAGCTGATCTGAAATCCAGTTTGAATCGGTATACTACAGGACGGTCAAATGTTCTGCTGAAGATCATTTTAAACCAGAGCAAACAAAGATAAGAAACATGGAATTAGAATTTATTACCTAGACCACTGCTCCACTTTCTTAAAGCACATCATTCACCTGAACACGTCATCCAAGTCAAAGCAGAATTATCGTCAACTGATTAGATTCAAAGTGACCGTGCTTTATGGCATACTATGCTGTGACATGTGATACTATGACTTTTTGTTTTGCAATATAAACTATGAATTATTTAGACAAATTATTCATCACATTCTATATTATAACGTTCCTGCAATACAACCGAGAGCCAGCGAGCAAACACCACAGATACCCCTGGTTGAGCAGGTAAGGTTATTTGATCGCTCTTGATGTTTTTGATATTTCTATGGCATACTGTACTATGACATGCTACTCCATAACATTTTTAAATGTTATTTTCATTGCATAGTATGATACTATTATAACTTTATGACATACTACTCCATTACTTTATTTAATATTCATGGCATAGCTACTATAGTTACTTTTTAAATCACATTTTTATTTCGTGACATACTATAATATGACATTTCTTATTGCATACTAAACTGACATTTGATGATATTAGCATGGCATATGCCAGTTTTTATGGCATTCAATACTACGACTTTCATATGAAGTTTTTATAGTAAACTATACTATGCCAGTTTTTATGGCATCTTTTCTTTGATGTTTTTATGACATGACATACAATACAATGTGATCAGATGAGTATACAATTAATAAATAAGCATGTTTTTTTACAACGTAAAATAACGACACAAACTTGGAAGTCAATAATCAGTCATGTAAGCATTTATGGATGCATCAAAATGTCTGCTGCAAACAAAATAAAAACAGCAGCTACAACAGAGAGCGCAGTGATAGCGTCTGTGGGGAGGTGGGGAGTTTCATATCCTTAACCACACAGACCCAGGTGTGGCTCATGTAGCTGATGATCCCAATCCTGCAAAAGAAAACCAAGAGCAAGCAAGCAAAAAACACAGAGACCCCTAGTGGAGTAGAGGTGTCGTCACACATCCCTTTTAGATTTTTATGACATTGTTCTAAGAGTTTTTTGACAACATTTTAATGTCATATTATATATTACATTTGACTATGTCATACTGCGGGGCCAGTGCCACCAGGAGGATCTCAGCCTTGCTGAATAAAATACTGCTACTGGACGGACATACAAAAAATTATGTATTAAAGTAATTTTCAATATATTACAGTTCAGTGAAAATAATTAGTAAATTATTAAAACTATTTTTTTTTTTTATGCAAATAGAAGTAATACATGGCTTTTATGAGTTAGTTAACGCAAGACAATAAGAAGCTGTTTAGAGCAGTTTGTTAGTATTTATTTAAGATATCTGCACAGGTA